ATTTGGGTGCACCGTAAGAGGGATAACTCATTGGTGGCTGTCTACAGAGAGAAGAGAATGAAGAAGAAGCCAGTTTTGGTGACCCCCTTTCCCTCCTGCCCCACATCTCTCTAAATCTGATGTTGCGGCTTTGGGGACTATCCAGAGCCTTTTTAGAGGGGGTGTGGGGTGCTGCAGCAGTCACTGTAAATTGGCTCTCTCCCTCCTGTGCCTTTGGATTCTTTCCTGTCAGTGGAAAGTCACCAATGGAGACTACGCTAAGAATGAAAAGGTGGATAGATGCAATAGCTTTGAAACTGCTTTTATTTGCATAGCAAAAGGTGGAAGGAAGCTATTGGAATAAATGCCTGATGGGAATGAGCAGCTGCTCCCCCCCCCCAGTTTTTGCGCAATGAATATAAGTTATCAGCAGCATAAGACTTGCAGCTTTGCCGTACGTGTGACAGTAAAAAAAAAAAAAGCTGTCCAATTTAACCTGGCATGTCTGATATTGTGACATTTTAGGAGGTTCTTCTTCTTGGTATTATGCCGTGCTTAGAAGACTTCTAGAATTAAAATCTTAAAATAGCAGCAAATCTGGCTGTGCTTTGAGTACTGTGTGTGCATAGGTGAGCTTGTTCATCAGTAAACTTGAAGTCACTTTAAAAATGTCAGTTCCAGAATTCACCAAGCTGAGGCTTGATCAACGGTTGAAAGTCCACTGTGCAAAAGGATACAGAGAATGAAATTGAGAGCACTGGTCATTCTGCAGAAAAGGGGCGTTTGCTAGAAGAACTGTTGTTGTTTAGTCGTGTCTGACTCTTCGTGACCCCATGGACCAGAGCACGCCAGGCACTCCTGTCTTCCACTGCCTCCCGCAGTTTGGTCAAAGATCCTTCATGGATCACTGCCTTGCCGTGGCGAAGGGGCTTGAATAACTCAGAGAAGCTATGAGCTATGCCGTGCAGGGCACCCAAGATGGACAGGTCATAGTGGAGAGTTTTGACCAAACGTGATCCACCTGGAGCAAGCCACTCCAGTAGCCGTGCCAAGAAAACTCCATGGACAAAGACAACAGAAGAACTGGAGATGTATCTAGTCATGGCCTAGGGTACCCCTCTGAAAAAAGCTACTCATCTCAGATGAACTTTTAGCTCCCTTAAAATACTTTGTAGCACCCCCAATTCACTTTTAATCCTGTTCTAAGTGAAATTTTGCCTGCAGCAAAATATTTTGTGGAGGTTCTTGAATTGCAGAATGCCCTTCCGCAAGGGAGAAGTCAAAAGTCTCAGAAATGGCAAACACAATATGTTGGGAAAGGGGTGGAATATGCGGAAATGGATCTAGGAAGAACAGTACAGTGGTACCTCGGGTTACATATGCTTCAGGTTACAGACGCTTCAGGTTACAGACTCCGCTGACCCAGAAATAGTACCTCGGGTTAAGAACTTTGCTTCAGGATGAGAACAGAAATCGTGCTCTGGCGGCGCAGCAGCAGCAGGAGACCCCATTAGCTAAAGTGGTGCTTCAGGTTAAGAACAGTTTCAGGTTAAGAACGGACCTCCGGAACGAATTAAGTACTTAACCAGAGGTACCACTGTATAATCTTTTACCCAACAAGACTTCTAGTCTGGTGCAGGCTGTTGCAGATGCTCTTTCGTTGACCTCTGGAACGAATTAAGTACTTAACCCGAGGTACCACTGTAGTGGTCTTGACTTGGGGAAACATTGGAAAAATCAATTGGCTGAATCCAGTTACATGATTCAAAAGCACTTGGTCGCATTAATGCTTCCCCCCCCTCTCAATAGTAAGAGTCCTGCTGCATCCATTATGTGTGATTTAAGTAGAAAATGTGGAATTTGTATTATCTTCATCACTCTAGGAGTACTTGTCGTCTCTAGAACTAGATTTTCCTACAGTGCTGATGATGCTCTTGGCATGCCTGCGTTGCAACACTCAGGTAGCCACACCCCAGTTCTCTCTTTTAATTGGCAGCTCGTCTGCTTGACTTACGCAAGGGCTAGATTTCCTCTTCTGCCTTGTAACCGCCCTAGATAGAAGGAAGGAGCAGATAACACTTGGAGAACGGCTGTTCTCTCAAGCAGCTTGCAGGCTCTCATTTCAAACATTTTATCAGCCTGTTGTTCTTCAACAGTGAGCAATGAGGTTTGCGGGAACATAGGAAACTGCCTTATATTGAGTCCCACTGTTGGTCTGCCTCATTCAGTATTGTCTGCACCAGGGGTAGGCAAACTAAGGCCAGGAGGCCGGATCCGGCCCAATCGCCTTCTAAATTTGGCCCATGGACGGTCCAGGAATCAGTGTGTTTTTACATGAGTACAATGTCCTTTTATTCTCTGGGTTATTTGTGGGGCCTGTCTGGTGTTTTTACATGAGTAGAATGTGTCCTTTTATTTAAAATGCATCTCTGGGTTATTTGTGGGACATAGGAATTTGTTCACTCCCCGCACCCCAATATAGTCCGGCCTACCACATGGTCTGAGGGACGGTGGACCAGCCCACGGCTGGAAAAGGTTGCTGACCCCTGGTCTACACTGACGGACAGCAATTCTCTAGGGTTTCAGACATGGGCCATTCCCAGCCCTGCTTAGAGAGGCCAGGGACATTCTGAATGCAGTGACTATTCTTCGATTGAGCTATGGCCCTTCCCACATGGTGAGAAATCATTCTTGCCCAGGAAGGATACTTGCAAAATGCCCTGGGCCCTGGAGATCTGTGGTTAAACTTCTCATGCTTCAGTTTGCTTTACTGAGTTTTGAATCTCTTTACAAGCGCCCGTTGGAATAAATTACCCAGCCTAGGCTTCAGGTCAGGCAGATCAGATCTGATGAGCTCCAAGCCAAACATGGTGCCACCTTACAGGCCTGAACATATAGAAGCATAGAGCTGGAAGGGGGGACCCTGAGGATCATCTATCCCAACCCCCAACAATGCAGGAATATGCAGCTGTCCACCTCTCTCCATACGAGCCTACCTGGACTCTGAGATCATCCTCTTGAAGACCTTCCTTGTGTGCCTCCTCCCCTAGAAGTTTGGAGGGTGGCAACATGAGAACCAGCCTTTTCTGTGGTGGCTCCCCATTTGTGGAATGCTCTCCCCAGGTTACGGAGCCTTCATTATACATCTTTAGGTGCCAGGGTGAAAAAACATTCCCCTTCGACCAGGCCTTTTGGCTGATTTAACATCCTTTACTCCTATAAATGTGTTTGTGGGAGGGAGGCGTTTTTATTGGTTTGTGGTTTGTCGTTCTTGTTCTTATTACGCATTTTGTGTTTTTATTTTGTGTTTTGTTTTGTACACCAAGATCTGCGGATGAAGGGCGGTATAATAAATCAATCAATGCCAATGGAATGCAGAGGAAGGGGTCTTGAAGGGACTGACTCAAAAGGGCTACTTTATCTACCAGCTTCCCGTTCTGAGACCTTAGGAGCAGTGTCAGAGATCTTGTTGTTGGCTGTTTCATTAGCAAACGTTTTCTTGGTGGGCCCAAGTGACAGGTCGTTCATGATTGGTTTTTGGGTGTGTGTGCTGCTGTTTAAATTGTTTTTGTGCTGGCCTTCACTCCCCCCCTTTTCCCCCCTGAATCATGTTTTTAATTGTCACATTTTTGCTTCGATCATAGCAGTTTTGGAAAACTGCACATTATGCTAAGATCTAAAAGATGGTATGAATAAACAATATTGTGAGCGGACTGAGTTTTGTATAGTTGCCTCTTTCTATTTGTCCCAGTACAGTACTTGATTTTTTTTTTACGTTCAAAATAAGTATCCTATATAAAGTGTGTAAATTCTTCTTATGGTACTATTCTTCTTCTTCTTCTTCTTCTTCTTCTTCTTCTTCTTCTTCTTCTTCTTCGGCGATCACTCGTAGCTGAGTAAGATTGTCTTACATAAACATGGTTTTAACAATGAGTCTGTAAGTGACTATGGAGGCCAATTCTGGATCCACATGTCTTTCCACAGTGGGGACATAGGTTTCTGGGTGGGAGTTGATCATGGTGTGGATTTTCCAAGCGTGCCTTCCTCCTACCACGTTTCTCCTTTGCGTCCTGAGTTCGAGTGTCTTCAAAGCCCATGACACCTTTGGTAAAGACTGTTCTCCAACTGGAGCGCTCGTAGGCCAGTGTTTCCCAGTTGTCAGTGTTTATACTACATTTTTTAAGATTTGCCCTGAGACAGTCGTTAAACCTCTTTTATTGACCACCAGCATTACGCTTTCCATTTTTAAGTTCAGAATAGAGGAGTTTACATTTATACTATACATTTATATTTATACTATACATTTAACCCCTCGCACTACCCCCCAAAAAACCTGGGAGCTGGTGTTTACTCCTCACAGAGCTACAATTCCCAGCACCCTTAACAAACTACAGTTCACAGAATTATTTGCAAGAGGGAATGTGCTTTAAATGTATAATGTGATAAAGGGGTATTTGATCACAGACCTAGAGGCCTTTAATGAACCCAATAGCAGCTCTCCTTCTCCTTCAACACCTGATTTAAGACTAGTCTTCAGGGGTAACTGCATATATAAGTTGGCTGGCGCTGCTGGTGTTAAGAAACTGATTCCAGCTTTACCTGCTGACACAATACAGCCAGACTCCCATTTCTCTTTGCTTGCTCTTCTTTTTCTCTTGGCTAATAGCTGGGGAGAATCAGATAGCAACCTTTTCTGCAAATCCTGCAGTTTAACTCTAGAGTGTGTTAGTGTTTTTTTTTGTTTTTTGGCATGTTCCCTGAAAATGCCAGAATCTTAAAGCAACAACAACAACAACATTTTTAATTCTGTTTCATCTTCATCTTCAGTTGGTCCAGGAAAATACTGTCAAGACATAATTTTTAAAATTATTTTTAAAATGAATGAAAACATTTCAAGGATTGCGGCTAGGTGGTACAGTGTTCGTGAGCCTAATTATACAGTTTCTTTTATCGGCGCTTAGAAGCAGTAAGATTCCACCTTTCTGTTTTATTTTAACATACATATATGTGTTTTCTTCCAGCTAAACTTGCAAAGCGGTCCCAGGAGAGAGAAAATCTTGGTATGCTGGTCTGGTCGCCCAACCAGAATATTTCTGAAGCAAAGTGTAAGTCTCTGGATTTTTGTTTCCCCCAACCCTCCTACTTAGCCTGTTTTAAAAGGCAAATAAAATAAAATACCAGGATGCTTTCTCACTGGGGAGAGACTACAGCTGTAACCTACTTTGTGTTTTCATTGTCCTTTAAGTGGAATTTTGAGTTTGTGATGTAACACAACCTTACGCAAGGTTTGCTGAGGCTGATGGGAGGTGTTGTCAAAAACCTCTGGATGGAGAAAGCATCTTTAATTCCTTCGTTTCCTAATCACACATCTTGTGAAAATTCTGAATGCAAGCTTCCCAGAATTCTCACTAAATTACGGGACGTGTTTTATGAAGCATTGTGCAAGGATAAGTGCCATTGGCTTTACTCGTTTGGAGAGGGAGGAAGGAAAAAATAATGGCAGTTCAGCTGCAGGAGTAAAGTTTGTTGGGAGCAGGGTTGAAAATAAAGTGGGGAGTAACTGTTCAGAGGCAAGTATTACCATTCCTGCTATTTAATTAACAAGTTTCCGATAAGAATCCCCAAAAATATCAGGGTGACTGAAAATAGGTTATTTGCACTTTTCTTACTGACATTTTTTTATAAAGAACCTTTTAAAAACGTGGAATGGCCACTCAAATTTTCATTATTAGCCCTCAAACTAACTAACAGTAGAACATTTGTTTGTTATTGAAAGCATTTTTACCCTCTCTCTTAGCCAAAAAGTTTCCTGGAGTGGCTTGCAAAACCTGATGACTCATTCAGGGAGTCATGACACACGACGAAAAAAGAAGGGGAGGGAAGAGGGAAAAGACAAGCACAAATTGCAGCTCTTATAACACAGTTCTGTAGTTTTGCCTGTGCGGATTCTCTCTTGTCTCCCCACCATATCATATTTGGAAACAGAGCAGGTGACAACATTTGGGCCAGGCAGGAAGGATTGTTCCTGCTACACAGTTCTTCCTTTGGCCAGTGGCAGGTGTGGTTGGAGAAGGCCTGAGGCCTTGCCCAGAGAAAGACATGAGGGTCAGTTACAGAGGCTTGATGGGCCTTGGTCTGAGGCTCCCCATCCCTTTATCACCTTTTTTTGCTCTATTTTTAAACTGGCCAATTGCATGTTGGATGTGCATTCTGTGAGGTTTGCTGTTACCTGGCTACATTCAGATCATCCCAGTATATGCTTGGAAATAGTAATGACTGGCCACTGAACATATTTTGTGAATCTTAAATGATGCCATTAGCGTAGCATTCAGCATAGATTGCGTTAGGTGTTTTCGGTTTGTTCAGCCAGGTTGCGACACCCTTGCAGTGCGGGCTTGTTGTCAGTCAGATTTAGTCAGTAAGTCAGGTCAGCTAACTGACTCTACCTGTAGCTGTAGTTTGTGCACCTTCAAATAACATGACAAAACAGAGATATACTTAAAAAGTAAAAGGTGCCTGTGTGAGGAGGCATTTTCTTCTGGTTTTAATTTCTATGTTTTTTGCTCTATAAGACCCACTTTTTCCCTCCTAAAAAGTAAGGGGAAATGTGTGTGCGCCTTATGGAGCGAATGCAGGCTGTGCAGCTATCCCAGAAGCCAGAACAGCAAGAGGGATTGCTGCTTTCACTGCGCAGCGATCCCTCTTGCTGTTCTGGCTTCTGAGATTCAGAATATTTTTTTTCTTGTTTTCCTCCTCCAAAAACTAGGTGCGTCTTGTGGTCTGGTGCGTCTTATAGAGCAAAAAATATGGTATATTTTCACCATATGCTGCTGCAAGGAACATTGTCCAAACACAGAAAATGCTTTGAAGAGCAGCAAGCTTTGCTGAATAGTTCCAACTTTTGAACAGCTTATACAGACACTCATATTTTAAAACAACAACAACATAATTATGATTTATTAATGTCCTTTTTGTATTCTTCAGTTACATTCCGTTGCCTTATCCAACCATGAGGGATAGAACTTTTTGGAAAGTGATTTAAGGCTCTCAGTTCTGATAGGGTAGAAGGAGGTTTGCAGCTCTTGTTCTTTATTCTCCTTCCCCTTTATACTTCCACGGGACGAAGCTTTTCTGAGATCTTGTGAAGTTTTGCATCTGCAAATTAGCATGCGTTCTAATTTGAGCTCCTCAGAAAAAAGCGTAGAGCTGATGTTCTCTAAAAGTTGTTACAGTGCACTTTAGGGCAAAAACTGTTGGTGCCGCCTTAAATATAACCAAGACAATGCAAATTGAAAAATAAATAAATTGGAACATAGGGAAAGGTGGCAGTTATGACCACATGGGCCCCGGACCTGTCTCTAGAGTTTTCCAAGGAGCTATAACACCTGCCTCCCAAATGAGCAGAAGGCCTGGTCTGTTGTTTTCCTTCCAGTTTTCTATAAATATTATACAGCGACTGACTTGCAAGGTTAAATCACGATAAGGCAGAGTAAGTTCTCTCTTCCGGGGTCTTCGCTATAGGATGGCCAAGCTGCGGATGACCGGCGGAACTTGTGGCCCCTCAGAAGTTGCTGAACTGTATTGCCCATCATCCCTTACCATTGGTGAATCTGGCTGGGGCTGATGGGAGTTGGAGCCCCATAGCATCTGGAAGGGTACAGCTCTCTGCTCGAGGGCATCAGAAAAATTATCAATTCCTCCCCCCCCTTAGGTGTTCGTTTTTGGGACAAATAGCCTGAGATGAGACTGATTTAATGCAGTGACAGCCAACATAGTGCTCTCCAGAGCTGCCCTCCAAGTTGGACTCCAACTTGTCATTAGCATGGCCTATGTGCAAGGGATGGTGGGAGTTGTAGTCCAACACAAGAAACAACTCTGGGCTGCCAAGACTAGACACAATTTGCTGGTCCCTGTACATGAATTTCTGTAATGGCACGTGCAATTCTCTGCATGCATTCTCTGGTTGATTGACCTATCTCCACTGAGGGTAGAAGGCCATACCACCTTGTTGAAAGTCTATAATGCAGTGTTTCCCAACCGGTGTTCCGCGGCACACTGGTGTGCCGTGAGACCTTGCCTGGTGTGCCGTGGGAGGGAGGCGGGAGAGGCGGGGCGGCGGCGGCATCTCCTGCTGGATGCAAATCCAAACATGGCGGGCGCCTCCCTCGCTCCTTTGTAGGCGGACCATCGAGAGAGAAAGAAAAGGAGGCGAAAGAGCGAGAGAAGGCGCCTGCGCGGAAAGAGGAGCGAGCAGTGCGCCTGCCGCCGCGGCGCCCGAGATCGCTTCTCCCCACCGCCCCTTGCTTCAAAAGAGGTCCGGGGACAGCGGGAAGCGCTTCGCGCTGCCCCCGGACCTCTTTTGAAGCAAGGCTTTGCGGGGAGAAGCGATCTCCCCGCAGCCCCTTGCTTCAAAAGAGGTCCGGGGGCAGCGGGAAGCGCAGCGCTTCTTCCCCGCTGCCCCCGGACCTCTTTTGAAGCAAGGGGCTGCGGGGAGATCGCTTCTCCCGGTGCTCCGAAGCGGGGCGGGGGGGCGGGAACACCTGCCCCAGCCGCCCCGCTTCGGAACGCTGCTCCGAAGCGGGGCGGGGGGGGCGGGAACGATGCCCCGATGCCGGGCGGTGGGGCGGGAACCTCTCCCCCCGCCGCCCGGCATCGGAACGATGCCCCGATGCCGGGCGGTGGGGCGGGAACCTTGCACCCCGCCGCCCGGCATCGGAACGATGCCCCGATGCCGGGCGGTGGGGCGGGAACCTCGCACCCCGCCGCCCGGCATCGGAACGATGCCCCGATGCCGGGCGGTGGGGCGGGAACCTCGCACTGTCCCCGGACCTGGTCTGAAGGCGGTTTCCCTAGGAACGCATTAATTGATTTTCAATGCATTCCTATGGGAAACCGTGCATCGCAAGACGAAAAACTCGCAAGACGAAGAGACTTGCAGAACGAATTAATTTCGTCTTGCGAGGCACCACTGTACTTTTTATATAGTCAATATAGGCACAGAGTTAAATTTTTTAACATTTTCTAATGGTGGTGTGCCTCGAGATTTTTTTCATGAAAGAAGTGTGCCTTTACCCAAAAAAAGGTTGGGAAACACTGCTATAATGTATGTATGTGTGCACTTTTCTGAAGTTACCGCACTTCTCCTGGCTGTAGACTTTTTGTTTGTTGTTGTTGTAAAAAAATACCTGCCTGGAGCATTTGAAGTGCCACTTTAATGTGCGATGCACAGGGGAGTGTTGTTCTGATCAAAGGCTTCTCCACCCACATCAAAAACCTGAAGGAAAAGCGAAGCTGGGAATAATTTACATAGCCAAAGTACATTTTATTAATACCAGGGAGTTCCACTCGGATTTTCTCGCTTCTCTAACTCCAGAACCAGTGGATCTAATCAAATACTAGGCAGTGTCAGACATAAAGGGAACCCATGGTTTGGCGCTGTTACTGCATGAATGATATTTGGGTCCACATGTTTCATCCTCCCCTTGTCTGCTCAGGATCCTTCATTTAGTTCTGGTTCTTGGCAAACCATAGTTTCTTGGGCAAACTGTGGCTTGCTAAGAGCATGAAGCTGAAGGAAAGAAAGGGAGAACGTGAATGCAAAGCTTCATTGATTGCATACTATTCTGCCATGGTCTGGCATTATGGGATGGAACCTCTGGCTCACATGTTCCCCCTCTCTTTCTTCCTTGGCTTAATCAATTACAGTATTTCCTACTTTTGTTTCATGCCTCTATTTACTTATATTATTATTTAAAATATTTATGTCCTGACTGTTTGCTGTGATTCCAGGTTGGTTCATAAAAACGTTATAAAACATACAAATCATAGCTTGTAGTTATATCCAAACTTGCAAATTATTGTTTGAATTTTCTCCTGAACCAGGACTTAGCTGGGCAAGCACAAACCACAGCTGTAGTTGTTCAAGGGTAGCAGCAAACCAGGATGTAACGAAGTGGATAATTCCCAGAGATGGATCATAGAGCCCAGGGCTCATTTCCATAGCACCAAACGACACATGTTGGGCAACCTGTGTTCATATGTACACAGGTCAATATTGAATGCAATTTTTTCTGCAGCCTTTTGTGGCACGTGTATTTGGTTGCAA